CGCCCCCGGGCTCGACCCCGCCCGCACCCGAGGCCCCGCCCCTCACGGTTGCCGCGCCACAGGCGGTCTGGCCTTTGTGGCTCCGAGGCGCAGGCTTCGGCCGAGAGCTTCCTGCCCAGGTGTCTCCTCCGGGCTCTCCTGGGCTTATGGCGGGCTCACCACAGCTCGAGCCCCGGGCCCTTCTGCCCTCGGGCTGCTCGAGCTCCGGCCCAGCGGACCGGCGCCCATTGCTGTCCCCCGAAGTCACGCTGTGGGAACTATTGCTGTTCTCGCTGAAGAAGTCGGGTGCGTGATTGTGAGAGGATGCGGCCGAGCCTGAGCGGGGGCTCCGCCGCATCCTGCCCTGGAGCTTCCCAGGGGAAGCCGAAGTCGCCGCAGCCAAAGCCCTCGGCCCTCCCTCCGCTGCCGCGCGGTCGGACCCTGCCTGAGCCCCGAGCCGCGCGGCCGACTCTGCCCGCTGCTGCCGTCACAGAGGAGCCATGTCACAGAGCTGCGTGACGTCACTGGGAGCCAAGCAGACGCCCGCTATTTTTAATGGCTTCGTGTGTGGGGCCGGAGGTTGATGTCTGCTATCTTACGGCTCTCCACCTTCGGTTTTGACATAGGGTCTCTCTCACTGTGCCCGGGGCTCACCATTTTTTTTTCCAGCTATGGCCTGCAATACACTATGGCTCCCCCAGAACTTTTGATTGCAGGCGTGGGGATAACAACTCAGGTCCTCATGTTTAGGCAACAAGCCATGTCAGGCCTGGCAGTGGTGGTGCACGCCTTTAATCCTAGCACTCGGGAGGCAGAGGCAGGTGGATCTCTGTGAGTTTGAGGCCAGCCTGGTCTACAAGAGCTAGTTCCAGAACAGGCTCCAAAGCTATCTTGGGAGGGGGGCAAACCATGTCAGCCCCTTCTCTTTGTTTTTTGAGCCAAACCAGCGAGTCCTAGGGACTGTGCTGTGTCCACCTCCTCAGAGTTGGAGTTACAGACAGGCCCCTGAGCTCTGGCCTAGCTTTTTGCTGCGTGCTGAGTCTCTGCACTTGGGTCCTCAGGCCTCTACAGTAAGCACTTCGTTGACTGTGCCATCTCTGCAATCCTTTGAGTGTTTTGAACATGAGGTCTTAACTATGTACCTCTTGCTGGCCTGGTACTGGCTATGTAGCTCAAGATGACCCCGAATCAGGAGGCTAATACTGCTGACTCGGTCTCCCAATTACAGACGTTTCATTATCTCCGTCATTCCCAGCTACACTTTTAACTTCTGAGGATTTTTGTTTGTTTTTTGAGACAAGTTTTCTCTATGTAACCCTGACTGTCCTTGAACTCTGTCTGTAGTCTAAGGCTCAGAGTTTCACCTGCCTCTGCCTCCAGAGTGCTAGGATTCATGGTGTGTGTCACCACCACTGGCAAGAATGGGAAATTTTATATATATATATATATGTAATATATATATATTATATATATGTTTTGTTCACTTCTATATCCTCCAGCAGCTAGATAGGTCTAGCCTATAATGAGTGGCCAGGTATTTAGGAATATTTAGTAAATATTAAGAAGGAGCAGAGCATCACTCAACACATTAAAAAATTATGTTTTAATCACCCGTCTTTATTTTTTAAACAATCTCACTGTGCAGTCAAAGCTGGTCTAGTGTTCAGATATGCGCTCTCTCTCTCTCTCTCTCTCTCTCTCTCTCTCTCTCTCCTCTGTGTGTGTGTGAGAGAGAGAGAAAGAAAGAGAGAGAGAGAATCAAATTCAGGTCTTCAGGCTTGGCAGCAAGTGCCTTTACCCACTGGGCCATCTTGCTGTCCTAGAATGTACATTTTAAACAATTACATGCTGTATCCTAATTTAGGTCCACACTAGGAAAAGCAATGGAGTGCAACCTGCACGATTTACACAAGGCGTCCAACAGGTACAGAGAGGGTTTTAAAAGGATTTACTTCACTGAGACCATGTTGCATGACAGGTTAGAATTTGAAAATCCTGACCCAGCATGGTGGTAGCACAGGACTTTGATCCTAGCATGATGGAGGCAGAAGTGGGAGGATCTCTCAGTTCTGAATTCAAGGACAATCTGGTCTACATAAGGAGTCTCAAGACAGCCAGGGCTCTATAGTGAGACCCTGTCTCAAAAACAAAAACAAAAGAAACAGCAAAAAACCCCACAACAACAAAAACAGAATTCCAGAATCCTGCATCCCAGTCCAATATTTTTTGCCACATCACATCGTACTTAGAACGTGAGCCAGCTTGTGGAAGTTCTTAGAGAGTTTGAGGTATGAAGACAGTCTAACATGTTAAGCTGTGTTCCAGCTCAAAGGAGGTGCATGTACTAAACTCTGGAGAGGTGATGCTAATATGCTTGATTAGATTCCACAGAGACCAGGAGGAAAGAGGAGGATCAAGGATTCTGATCTCAAACAAGCAGTCCCCGTCTGATCCTGTCCTGTCCTCTGTTTGAGAGCTCCTTTGAGTTCCAGTTTATCTGACAGAGGTGAGCCCCTACTTAGTGTGAAAGTATTGTGACATCTAACCTGACTCTTAAAAAGAGAGCAAACTTGGACCACCTTGACCGATAATACAAAGGGAGGTTTTCCTTGCCTGGCACTCGAGTTTTTGGTAGTCTTTGGATCTTGAGAGAAGCATTATTACCCCATGTATGTATATATGTGACACATACACACACATATATAATTCACTTTTTTGAAGGAATTTTCAAGACAGGGTTTCTCTGTGTAACAACCCTAGCTGTCCTGAAACTAGTGTTGCAGACCAGGCTGGCCTCGAACTCACAGAGATCCTTCTGACTCTGCCTCCTTAGTGCCGGGATTAAAGACATGCGCCACTACCGCCTGGCTGTACACTTTATTTTTGAGACAGGGTCTCACTTTGTAGCTCTGGCTGGCATGGAACCTGCGACATATACCAGGATGGCCTCAAACTCACAGAGATCCCACCCTCTTCTACCTCCTGAGTACCGGGATTACAGGTGTGCACCACCAACAACCAACTGGGCTGAAAGCTCTTACCTGAACTGCAAACACAAAGTAGAGAGAACAAACTGGAAATGGTGCAAATCTCTAAATTCCCAAAGCTTGACTTCAAGTGACATACTTCTTCCAACAAGACTATACCTCCTAAGCCGCCCCAAACAGTGCCATCAATTGGGGACCCAGTGTGTAAAGCTGAGGAATGGGGAGTATTTCTCTTCAAGCAACAATAAGCTATTGCTGTGGCCTGGTATAGAAGGTCCTTCTGTCTATGTGTTGCTTTCATTAATGAATAAAGAAACTGCCTTGGCCTGTTGATAGGGCAGAACTTAGGTAGGCGGGAAGAGGGAACTGAATGCTGGGAGAAAGGAGGCAGAGGCAGAGAGACACCATGGAACCACCAGAGATAGGACACTGAACTTTGCTGGTAAGCCACTGCCACCTGGCGATACACAGATGAATAGAAATGGGTTAGATTAAGATGTAAGTATTGTTCTTTAAAAATAAGCGGGTGTGTTCCCTGGCAGGCTCGCAGAGCAGCCGCTAGCCCAACAAGGATGGCTGTGGGTCCCTGTAAGATCTCCAGGGTGGCAGGCTGATCCCGCCATGCGGCCGGACGAGTCAGGCGGATGGGGATGGTGGATAAAAGGCTCACAGAACATAATAAATAAACATAAGGATAAACATTTATTACTTAAAAAGAAACAAACAGAGAGACAGAGATAGACAAACATAAAGACATAAAAACATAGAGACAGAGAGAAACATGTGTGAGAGAAAGACCAAAGAGAGAGAGTTAAGATGGCAGCGAGGGACGTCAGAAGTGGCTGGGGAGTGGTCGTGGTTAGCTCTTAAAGGGATCAGACCCAAAGAAATAACAGTAAGAGTTAGCCAATAAGAAGTTAGAGCTAATGGGCCAAGCAGTGATTTAATTCATACAGCTTCTGTGTGATGATTTTGGGAGTAAGTTAGCCGGGCTGCCGGGATGAACAAGCGGCTCTCTCCTCCCTACAACAGTGGCCCTCGGTTGCCTCCCAGAACTTGAAGGTAAGAATCTATTGCTGCAAACACCATATGCTTTAGACACAGAACTTGGAAGATTCGAGCTGTAACTTTCCCAGAAGGCCCCTCTTTAAGGCCTAGCTCTCATAGATTCAAAGCTATTATATGGGGAGATGGGATGTAACAACCAATCTATTTACTTTTACAGTCTATCCATCTGTAAAGCCAATGAACCCGAACAATGGCCAACTGGTGAAGTGTCCCAAATAGTACAGTAGTGGCACTATTATCTCAAGGGTTATCAAAATTGGACTTAAGAGAGGAATCAACTTCCTCCTCCCCAGAATTCTCCTGCTCTCCTTGCATCATTTCCACTTCCTGTCTGGCTGGTTTTCCCGCCTACACCTCCTGCCTGGCCAATCAACGTTTATTTAAACATGATTGACAGAATACAGACAATTCTCCCACACCAGAAGACCCTCTCAGTAGGAGGAAATTCATGCCAGGTGTAGTAAACGTGGCCAACTATATGTGGCTGAAGTGGTTATAGACCCTAGAGGGGAATCTGCTGTTACCATTTTCCTCAATCAATAAAGTTTCTAATTGTATTCTCAGTACTGATAGCCACAGGGAAGTGCAGCCCTCACTCCTCACCAAAGCAGCTTCTTTTTGCAGCACACAGAGGCTACCGCAGAGATCTGCAACTGGCCGAAATCCAGAGCATGAGTGACAGTGTATTGTCGGCCCCAAGGTTACATCTGTGTAGGGGACACAGAGGCCCTTGTGCTCACAGGTAAGCAGTAAGGGAACCAGGACTGTTAAACACGGGGTTATCTCTCAAAGGAAGAGAGGTATAACCTGCTTCCCACCCAGAAGACTGGGACTGGATGTGCTTTATAGCCTGTTGACTTTTGTGGTCTCTGTACGGCCAGGTCACTCCTGACTCCTCCAGACTCTTATGTTTGTCTCAGTCATCTTCCCTATACCCTTCTCTTGAGCACTGTTTCTCAGTCAATAGAACCCATCTTTACAGCAGAGGCCACATGTACTTTACAAAGAGTGTTGATGTAGTCAAGCCTTAAGATTTATTGTAGGGACTGGAGCGATGGCTCAGAGGGTAAGAGGATTGCCTACTCTTCCAAAAGTCCTGAGTTCAATTTTCAGCAACCACATGGTGGCTCACAACCATCTGTAATGAGGTCTGGTGCCCTCTTCTGACCTGCGGGCATACACACAGACAGAATATTGTATACATAATAAATAAATAAATAAATTTTTTTTTAAAAAGAAGATTTATTGTAGACATGGGATGAAGTAATTATGAGGAATCTTTTTTCAAAATTGTGCTGTGCTGAAATACACCCAAAGTAAACTGCCCAGGGTGAGACTCTAGAAGTTTGAACTAACTACTGAGTCGTGTTGAACCAAACTCCCTCTTGCCTCACTTGGGTGACTCTCTGCTGGCCCTGGGGGGTCACAGA